TATTATGTGGAGCTGGGAGGTCTCTTGTGGACCAGTGTCCTGAAGTTGGTTCTCCCATGTCAGAGGCACAGCACTGACTCCTGGCTGCAGCGCCAAGAGCCTTTCATCCACACGGCTTCTGGGAGGTGTGCGGTCTTCTGCCAGCGTTCAGTAGGTGTTCTGTAGGAGTTGTTCCACGTGTAGATGTATTTCTGGTGTACCTGTGGGGAGGAAGGTGATCTCCGCGTCTTACTCTTCTGCCATCTTCCCGGAAGTCTAGTAAATGATTCTTTTAATGTGCTGCTGGATTCAGTTTTCTATTATTAAGAATTTCTGCATCTGTATTCATCAGGCATGTTGGTCTGTAGTTTTCTAATAGTGTCCTTTCTGGCTTTGGTATCAGGGTAATGCTGGCCTCACAAAATAAGACTGGGAGTGTTCCCTCCACTTTGATATTTTTGGAAGGGTTGAGAAGGATTGGTGTTAATTCTTTAAAATTCACCAGTGAAGCCATCTTGTCCTTGGCTTTTCTTCACTGAGAGATTTTTGATTACCAATTCAATCTCCTTACTAGTAATTAGTTGATTCAGACTTTTTATTTCTTCTTGTTTCAGTCTTGGTAGTTTGTATGTTTCTGAGAATTTTTCCATTTTCTCTAGGTTGTCCAGTTTGTTGGTGTATATTTGTTCATAGTAGCCTTTTATGATCCTTTGTATTTCTGTGGTATCAGTTGTAATGTTTCCTTTTTCATTTATAATTTTGTTAATTTGGGTCCTCTCTTTTTTCCTTGGTTAGTCTAGCTTAAATTTTGTCAATTCTGTTTATCTTTTCAAAGAACCAACTCTTAGTTTGGTTAATCTTTCCTATTTTCCTGTTCTCTATTTTATTCTTTAGTTTTTCCTTTCTTCTGCTAACTTTGGGCTCAGTTTGACCACCATTTTCTAGTTCCTTAATGCATAGAGTTAGGGTTTTTTAATTGTTCTTGCTTCTTAACGTAGGCATTTATTGCTATGAAGTTCCCTCTTAGAACTGCTTTTGCTGCATCACATAAGTTTTGGTATGTTGTATCTCCATTTTTGTTTCTCAAGATACTTTATTTCCTTGTTAATTTCTTCTTTAATCTATTGGATGTTCAGGAGATTGTTTAATTTCCATTATTCATGAACTTTCCAGTTTTTCTCTTATTGATTTCTAGTTTCACACCATTGTGGTCAGAGAAGGTACTCAGTATGATTTCAGTCTTCTTAAATTTGCTAAGATTTATTTTATGTCCTAACATATGGTCTTTCCTAGAAAATGTTCCATATGCACTTGAGAAGAATGTGTATTTTGCTGTTGTCAGATAGACTGTTCTCTATATGTCTGTTAGGTCCATTTGGTCTACAGTGTTGCTGAAATCTGCTGTTTCCTTATTGATTCTCTGTATGATCTGTTCATTGTTGTGAGTGGAGTATTAAAGTCCCCACTGTTATTGTATTGCTGTTTATGTCTCCTTTTAGCTGGGTTAGATTTTGATTTATGTATTTGGGTGCACCAATGTTGGGCACATAAATATTTACAATTGTTGTATCTTTTTGATGTAGTGACTCCTTTATCATTACCTTCTTTGTATATTTTTACCATTTTTAGTTTACAGTCTTTTTTTTTTTTAAACATCTTTAGTGGAGTATAGTTGCTTTACAATGGCATGTTAGTTTCTGCTTTATAACAAAGTCAATCAGTTATACATATACATATGGCCCCATATCTCTTCCCTCTTGCATCTCCCTCCTTCCCACCCTCCCTATCCCACCCCTCTAGGCAGTCACAAAGCACTGAGCTGATCTCCCTGTGCTATGCGGCTGCTTCCCACTAGCTATCTGTTTTACATTTGGTAGTGTATATATGTCCATGCCACTCTCTCTTTGTCCCACCTTACCCTTCCCCCCCCCCCCTATCACGTCTCTTCTATTTTTTGTCTGGTGTAAGTTTTGCTATCTCTTTTTTTTTTTTTTTGCCATTTGCTTGAAATATAGTTTTCCATCCCTTCACTCTCAGTCTATGTGTGTCTTTATGTCTAAAGTGAGTTTCTTGTAGGCAGCATATCATTGGATCTTGTTTTTTAATTTATTCAGCCATTCTGTGTCTTTTGATTGGAAAATGTAATCCATTTATGTTTAAATTATTGATTTAAAAAAAGGGGCTTACAATTGCCATTTTGTTACTTACTGTCTGGCTGTTTTGTAGATCCATTGTTCCTTGTTTCTTACCGTGCTGTTTCTTATTTTGATGTTTTGTGGTATCAGTATGCTTTGACTTCTTTATCATGTTCCTTTTGTAATTACTACAAGTTTTTCCCTTGTGGTTACCATGAAGCTTACATAAAAATATCTTAAAATTGTAACACTCCAGTTTAAGCTAATAACAACTTAACTTCAATACAATTCCTGAGTTTTACACTTTTACTTCTCCTCCCCCTCACATTTTAGGTTATTGATATTACAATTTGCTTTTGTTATTGTATAACTAATAACAGATTATTTTAGGTATGGTTATTTTTACATTTGTTTTTTAACTTGTAAACTAGATTTGTGAGTGAATTGTGCACCAGCATTACCGTACAGAATCTAACTTTGACTATATTACCAGTGAGTTTTATACTGCCTTCTTACTTTTTATGATGATAATTAGTGTCCTTTCCACTTAACAGACTCCCTTTAGCATTTCTTGTAAGGTAGGTCTAATGGTGATGAATTCCTTCAGTTTTTGTTTGTTTGGGAAAGTCTTTATCCCTCCATTTCTGAAGTACAGCTTCGCCAGGTATAGCATTCTTGGTTGACAGTTTCTTTCTTTCAATATTTTGAATATGTCATGCCATTAGCTTCTGGCCTGAAAAGTTTCTGTTGAGAAATCTGCCAGTAGTCTTAAGGGCACACCCTTACATTAGCTTATCTCTTTTCTCTTGCTGGTTTTAAAATTCTTGTCTTTGACTCTTGACAATTTATATTTATGTCTCAGTAGAGCCCTTTTTGAGTTCAACCTATTTGGGATCCTTTGGGCCTCTTGATGTCTATTTCTCTTCCCAGGTTTGGGACGTTTTCAGCCATTACTGTCTTTAATATATTTTCTGTCCTTTTTCTCTTCTCTTTTTGGAATTCCTTTAATACTAATATTGTTTCTTTTCATTGTGTCCTGTTAAGTCCTATGGGCTGGGGCTGGCTTCACTTTTTTTCATTCTTTTTTCTTTTTGCTTCTCTGACTGGATAATTTCAAATATCCTATCTTCCAGGTCACTGATTCTTTCTTCTGCCTGGTTGAGTCTTCTTTTGAAGATCTCTATTGATTTCTTCATTTATTATATTTTTCAGCTCTAGGATTTCTGGTTTTTAAAAATGGTTTGTTTTTTTGTTGAGCTTCTCATTTTGCTCATTCATTGCTTTCCTAATTTTGTTTAGTTGTCATGTGTTCTTGTAGTTCACTAAACTTCTTTAAGAGGATTTTCCTGAATTCTTTGACAGTTCATAGATCTCCATTTCTTTAGGGTTATTAGTGCTTTTTTAGTTTCCTTTAGTGTTGTCATATTTACCTGATTTTTCATGGTCCTTGATTCCTTACGCTGGTATTTGTGCATTTGAGTAAAGGGTCTCCTCTTCCAGATTTTGCAGATTTGCTTTGGATTCATCAGCCAGCTCAGTTTGGGTTTCTGGTGTCTGCTATTAGCATCCTTGGGCAGGTGAGACCTGCTATGAGAGTCTATTTTGGGGCAACTGTTTAAGCTCTGAGATTGTGGATGGGGGTGTGTGCCACTGGCTGAGAACAGCTGGATAGGACTGAGGGCTTCATTCCATGCCCAACTGGCTATAGTATAGGCTCTTTTGTCTGGATTTTCTGGTCAGGCTTACTAGATGGTTGGGACTAGGAACTATACTCAGCAGTAAATGGGGCTATGAATTAACTTCCCTACCCTGGTAGGGCAGCAGGATGGGACCCAGGGCCTGCATGGCTCATTGTTTGGGGACCCAAGTCAGGCAAGAGTGTTTACTGGATATCCTGGTCAGGTGAGACTACCAGTTTTGCTCTGCAGACAGGGGAAGCCATGGGCTATACTTTTGGTTCAAATGCCACTGTTAGGCAGGCCTGTTGGATGGGCTACACAGCTTTCTGTGTGCCATGGTAAGGTTTCCTGGTCAGATAAGCTGAAGGCTGTATTTAGCAATGAGTCAGGCTATGACTTAGTTTCCCTACGTAAGCTAATTTAGGCACAGTGGGAGAAGCCGCTCCTAGGCCACTCTGTTTGTGGTCTTCAATCAATCTGATCCAGGCCCCAAGTTCCATGGCCAAACTGGACCACTTGCTTTGCTCTAAAAGCAATCAGCTCTGCCTGCCCACCTCTCAGCTCCAGTGTGGCTGGATAATGCAGCTTCCAGGTGTTCTTACCAGCCCTTCCTGTCAGATGGAGCTATGACTCAGCCCTCCTGCCTGGGTAGGACTGGGAGAGCCCACTTCAGGTAACTCCCAAATTTTCCCAAACAGGCTTTCTGGTTGGAAGGGACAGGGATCTAGGATCCACAGTGGGTGGGGTTATGACTCAGTTCTTCTGCCTGGGTGTGAGTAGACCAGGCTTCAGGGCTGTCAAAACTCCTCCTCTGAGGATCTGAATCTGGCAGTCCTTTCCCGGGTTAGATACACCACCAGCTAGATTCTGCATATGAGCACAGCCACTGGTTGGGACTAGTACTTGGCTCTGCAGGTAGGAACTCAGTCTGCCATGATCTGAGTGCTGACTGTTGGAAGCCCCCCCGCCTTCTCCATCATGAATTCCCAGTGGTTGAGCCCCACAGATTCCCCTGTGATACTGGGGGGTGAAATACACAAAGTAAGGGCTCCCATGAAGTGACCCACAATGCTAGGCGGGGAGCTGGATGTCACCCCTGGCTCTCTTTTCCCACTGAAGGAACTGGAGTCTCTGAGGAGATCTCTCAGTGTGATGTTGTGCCAGCCTAGGGGAGAAGCAGTGTGATCAGCATAGCCATTCCTCTTACCCTCCCAATGCAGTCTGTCTTGGTCTCTGTGGTACAGGAGGGTACTTCAGCCTCACTTCCACGTTTTAGGATTTTCTCAGTGGTGTCTTGTCCGTGAATGGTTGTTAGTTGTTCTTCCTGTGAGGGGAAGAGAAGTCAGGAACAACCGATGTTGGCATCTTGGTGACATCACTTCCTGTACATCTTGAAGAGAGGAAAATACTGAAATGCATTCATTAAAATCAGGCTTACAGTTACCTAATGTACTTGGCTACCAATTTGGTATTATACTGTACATCCCTCCCAGGGAACATTTCTTTGATTCTACCTTTCCCACTAAGAACCCAAGACTCAAAATTAGGAGAACTGGCCTTAGGCCTGATATTTGAAGGGTTTCCCATCTATAAAATGAAGGGTTGAGAAATACCTCTCCCCCAATAAAGGTTAAGAAATAATGTCCATACCTTTTGACCAAGCAATTTTTCTTTCAGACATCTGTCCAATGAGCTGAAACAAGTGGTGATAAAGGCTGTATATGTAAAGATGTCTCACAGCATTCTTTTTTCACAACTGTAAAGCAATCTAAATGTTTGCCAATAGACAACTATTATTGTATTAACTAAGTAGAAAATTTGGCAACCATTATAAATGCCAGTGGGAGTTTATGTCAACAGAGAAAATGTCTAAGTTAAAATGTTAAAGGAACAAGATGTGAATTTGTTCATACAGATATGATTGCAGTTATATGAAACGAGAAACCACAAAATTGTGCCTAGAATGAAGACTAGAAAAAATACATAACATAATAAAATATCCCATTAGGCAGTAGACTAATCTTACTACAATACTTTATTGGATGACAGTGTTGACTTCCAAAAGACACTACTCAAAATTATAATAGTGATTTCTTGTCATTTTGTTCTTGTAAACATGACCAAAGTTGGGGGTTTTCAGACCATAATTGCACATGTAAATATTGTAAATACTGCCAACCATTTGAGCTGTTTTGGTTATCTTGGGTTTAACACGTTGACCTTAGAACTTATGGTATAGGATCTATACTAAAAATGATTGTTAAAAGTCAGGATTCCACAGAACAATTTCATGGATTCCCTAATTTCCATTTACAGATTTTTGTGGAAGAAGAAAACTTGAAATTTAAAATTAAGAAAAATACGTCTCTTTACAGGTGTTCCATTGCCCAAAGAAGATGACATTTCTGCCCCCTTGACCTCCAGCTCACCAGTAAAGGAATCCCATGAGTATGAAGAGCCCTCAAGTGAAGAGGAAGATAAAATAAAAGAAGAGCCCTTGACCATCTCTGAACTGGCATACAACCCAAGTGCCAGCCTGCTCCCTACCCCCATTGATGATGATGAGATTGACATGCTCTTTGACTGTCCATCTAGGCTGGAGTTGGAAAAAGAAGACACAGATTCGTTTGAGGAACTAGAAGCAGATGAAAACGCCTTTTTAATGGCCGAAGAAGAAGAGCTGAAGGAGGCTCACCAAGCTTTGTCATGGAGCTATGACATTCTGAGTGGCCATATTCGGGTGAACCCACTGGTCAAGAGTTTTTCCCGGCTCCTTGTGGTGGGCCTGGGCCTGCTGCTCTTTGTATTCCCCCTGCTCCTCCTCCTTTTGGAGTCAGGTATTGATCTCTCCTTCTTATGTGAAATCCGCCAGACGCCCGAGTTTGAGCAGTTTCACTATGAATACTACTGTCCTCTCAAGGAGTGGGTGGCTGGCAAAGTCAACCTCGTTCTTTACATGCTGGGTTGCTCATAAAGCTCATATCTCATATGACTAAGGGCTATATTCAATACTAGTGATTTCTTTTTTTTTTCAGCAAAGGCCTTGTTCTGAATGGTCACAGGACCATCAACAGGTGTTCTTTACTCATAACTGATTATTCAGACCTTTAAGTTAGCTTTCCATAATTCACTGCAAGTAAATAAGTTTAAATCAAATACAGTTATTTTAGTTACAGGTCAGGAAGATGGCCTCTAAATAACCAAAAATATGTTTATTTTTTATTATAGTACAGACATACTCTTTATCTATTATAATAAATTGAGCTGAATTAGATTTCCTCCTTTTTTAATAGTTAACACCATTATAAGCTATAAGGTTCAGAATCAGAGTTTTAGTAAAAACCCAAGAGAAACTTTTTTGAATATAATCCTTAGTGAAAACAATGTTCTCTAACCAATGCCTATACAACTAAATTTATGCTGGGCTTTTGTTTTTGTTTTTTTAAAATATTTTTATGTGTTCAAAATATTTTGGTAAATTTTTAGCAAAAAAAAAAAAAAAGAAGCCTCCTAGAGTTATTTAAGTGTACAGATTGTAAGACTAATGCACAAAGGGTATGTCAGGAATTTTTTAATGTTTTGGCACTGGTTTGTTTTTTAAAATATTTTTGGCTGAACATAATTTGTTGTTACCTGCATATGAGATAGAAAATAGGTAGAAAAACATTGTAGAAAGTAAGCTTCTGAACGGATGATGGAACTGGAGGAAATAGAAATTGAGAGCATCAAGTGGACACAGGGTCCATTTTTCAAAGTATTTGGACAAGATGATTTGTTACTTTCATTTGCATCCTGTCCATATATTTTGGCTCTGGAAATAGAATGTTTTTAAAATAAAGTGAAACTTTAAAGGAAAAAAAGTTAAAGGAGATGCTAGTTAATTGCATATTATTGTACATTAACCCAAGAGTGGAAGCAGATGGGAATTGGACAACTGGTAAGTTGCAAAACAAGAGTTCTGGTGAGGCTGGTAGGCAAGTGATGGTAGACAAATGATCTATTTTATGAAAGTGATGGTGATGCAAGGTATTGGATGATGTAAAGAACAGTATACTCACTGTCCAAGTTGACATGAATATGTTTAAGTGGATCTAAATAAAAGTGGAGAAACTTGAAGGCACGTTTTTTGGTCCCTCATGCCATTCATTGAGATTCTGTGGAAGAAACTTTAAAAGGTGTGTGTGTGTGTGTGTGTGTGTGTGTGTGTGTGTGAGAAAGAGAGAAAAAGAGTGAGAAAGAGTGTGAAGAGAATGGATTTTGGCTTTTCGATAAATGCCTATGATCTTTCTTTGTGGCGGTCATTATACTCTTTTCCTTTCCTGGTTTCCTTAAGATTTTTAACTCATTCATAATTGGGGCTCTCATTAAGAAAGTTGAAGGGACTCAACTCATTAGATAATATACCATTTCAGCTTGGGTGAAGTAGTGAAATGACTCCCTAACTAGACAGTAGGTGGGACAAATGCTCTAGTACCTTCCTTTATACCATTAAATCCATGACAGAAAGGCTCTGAGGCTTTCCATGCACAGTACTTACCAATACTGTGAAAGAAAAGAGTATGGAATTTAGGGCATAGAGCATAGGGATTTCTCCATAGATTGTAAATGAAGGCATGGAATATTTTCAAAGGGATTGGGCTGCCTATAATCTCTCCCTAACTCCAAGTCTATCATTAACATAATCTCCAAATTGGCCATTCCAGTCCTACTCATTCATGGAGATCTAAGTGCTTTATTAGACATTTAATTTTGTAAATAAGTTTTAAAAGTCAGCTCATGAAGCCTTCAGTTGAGCAAACTATAGTATAATTTGCTATTAAGTTTACAGCGTGTTCTTTCTCATGCACTGAGTGATTGACTTTGCTTTTTAATAAAGAATATTTGATACCTGAAATTTGATACCAAGGTAGAAGTATATTTTCTATAGGTTATTTGGAAAGTTTGCAAATGGCCTCCTTTGAAGCTGAAGATTTTTCCCCCCTTGTTTATGACTTAAAGTCATACTTTCTTACATAAGGGTACTCCAGTGTAGTCTGCACAAAATTAGTTCCCTCTTCTAATCATGCTTCAAATCATTTTCTTTGAAGTTCTAACCATAACAAATCATCTAGCCCTTGCCATTTTACACTAATATTAAATAATATTTTTAAACTAGGGAATTAATATATTAGCCATCATAAAACATTGAAAAATACTGACACAATAAGTATCACACATAGTCCACCCAAGCAGATTTATAGTAAGGAATATTAAATATATAATTTTAACGTTTCTAGCTAACATCTCCTTCTCTTAGGCAAAAACTTCAGTATTGAATAGAAATGTTTTTAAGTGAAAGAGCTGACAGGATAGGGTCTGCAGAATTTAAACAATAGCTACCAAAAGTAAAACTTGGATCCCAAAATGCCATTTTGTAGGGATAGAATCAGAGTCTTTTGAAATATCTGCTTAAGTTTTCTTAGAAGACAGTCACCAGTTGCCTGAATCAAATGAGGAAAAGACTGCTTCCAAAGATGGAGAATATATAATACAGTAAGATACAGAATTCAAAGCAAGTGTGTGAGTATATGTATATTCCATATTATTGGTATATGTGTTTATAAATGAATCTGTATATACGTGTGTATTTGTATACACACAACTGATATGCCCTTCATACATAGTTGTTTTTCTCCAGTTGAGGAATTTGTGACATGTTATTCCTTTTCCCTCTCAGACATCATAGTGGATAAAACCCACAGTCTCAAAGGTTTCAGTTTTCCATGAAAACTACCATTTGTGTACATTTGTGGTTTTATACACACACACATATGGCAAATACATATACACACACAATCTTGTCTTTAGTGCTAATGCAAGTTGGATCATGAAAAAAACGTAGGTGAAGTATCGTGTATTTCTGTCCGTGCTTGGAACATATTGTAAAATGTTATGTATCTGGAATATATTTTGTGGTTTGTCTACTATTTATAAAGACCACTCTGGGAAGAAGTCAAAATGAATTGATTTCATTGAAATACTAGAGAGTTGGGGGCCATGTTACCTGTGATTGGAGCCTTTGTATGGTGAAATTTGCATTTCTGTGTCAACATCCAGATTGTTTTATATGTTAATATGGTGGCAGGAATCCCTAATAAAAAATACTCTGGGGAAAAATGTTTCTGCAATCATTTAGTTTTATTCAAAGTGAAGTTGTATAAATAGTCCATTGGAAACTACAGAAAGGTGCCATCTGCTACCATGAAGTGAGGTCACCCTTGAATGGTGATAGTATGGGAAAAAAAAAAAAAATCACAGGTAATGGATGGGATTAACCCTTCCTTTACAGAAGTCACTCAGGCTCAAAGGAAAACTACTGAGTGCACTAGAAATGCACCCAAATATAAAAGACAGCTGTAGTTTAATTAGTGGCATCAAGATAGAAAAAAATAGAAAAGCACAGAAAAAACCAGAAAAGGGGTGTTCCTTCCTGTGCCAAAGAGAGCTACCTCAGACTCAGCTCTGCAACTTCGGCATTCAACTTCTATCTGTTCACAGGCCCTGGAAGAATCTTGCTATTCTACTCCTGTCATCCCCTCCATGCATGGCCTAAAAGGACCTCCACTTTGCTTTGGCCCAAAGCTAACAACTCCACACCTGACAGTTAAATCAGAAGGTGTTACTCTGAATGGAATAAAAGGGACTCTCTTTACTACAGGAACACCATAGGTGTCCAGCTGAATTGTACCCTAGCTGTGGTGGCCTAGCCAAGTTTTTTTTTTTTTCAGTTTTATTGAGATATAATTGACATATACCAGTATATTATTTTTAGGTATACAACATAATGATTTGATATACGTATATATTGCAAAATGATTACCATAAGTTTAGTCAATGTCCATCACCTCACGTAGTTAAATTTTTTTTTCTTGTGATGAGAACTTTTAAGATTGCTGACTCTTAGTAACTTGCAGACATACGATACAGAATCGTTAACAGAGTCACCAAGCTGTGTATTACATCCCCAGGACTTATGCATCTTAAAACTAGGAATTTGTACCTTTTGATCTCCTTCATCCATTTCACCCATCTAGGGGTTGAGGGGTGGGAGAAGTCTGTCAAGTTCTTCCTCAGCAGTCCTCAGGGGTCTGAGCTCCAGAGCACAGGAAAGAAAAGGAATTCAGTGGTCAGTGTTCAGGTGTGAGGTATCAGGAGCCAGTCCCGAGCCAGTACCTGTTTGTGTTAGTGGCTGCACACTGGGAGGCTCTCACAAAATGGCCTTTGGCCACTTGTTCACTGAGCATCCCAGGCTCCTAACCCAGCCTCACCTCGTGGGAGAAACCCTTTTCCTTATTCATACACTCCTTGCTCAGCCGATTAGGATAAAGATCTCCTAACTACATTTCAGCTTGGAAGGAAAGGACTGGGGAGAAGCTTCCACCTGGGTGACGTCGGGATGGTTGTGGTTGATGAACTTGAGACTCTTGGGGCCGCCTTTCTCTACTGGGTGGAGATAATGTGCTAAAGGACCCTGCTTACTTGTCCTCCTGCTTCTCTCTCTCTCTCTCTCTCTTTCTCTTGGACCTGCTTTTGGGCGTCCAGTCTCCATGCCGTAAACAGACCCAGCAGGACCTGCCCGTGGTGGGCCCACCCAGGACTCAGCTCTCCACGTTCCAGCCTCAGTCTGTGGCAGGGTGGGTAAGTTTGGTGAGCCCCACCCACTGCCCTCAGCTGTCACCACTTCAGAGAGGATGAAAGAAACCTCGCCTGGGCCTCAGATCCCAGCTGTGCTCTTCAATTCATCAATAAAGCCGATTTTAATCCTCTTCTGGCCATGTGTCTGTTGTCTATGGGGAAGTGGGGCGTGAGATGGGGAGTGGTGCAGGATTCACACTAAGTACACGCAAGACTGTTTAGATCTGTCACTTCCAGTGTTGCAAGCGAGGAAGGAGTCGGGGAGGCTGCTCCTGGCTGAACCTCAGGCATCAGAGGATGTCTGCCACTGACATCGGCCCTGACAGCCCTTGTAGATGGGTGAGGGAACTTGGGACATAATATTAGAAAAGAACAGAGGATTGCTTGGAACCACACATCCTTCTTCTTTACCTGTAGCTGATGCTGACCCCAAATATCTCTTTGGAAAGAGAACCCAAGCCACTTTCCTGGTTGCAAAGGAAAACCCTTAGTAGGACACAGGATATGCTTTGTGTAGATACAAAGTACTGAAACCTGTCTTGCCAATTACTGTAGTTCCTCCAGCTAACATGGCTCACCTTGATCTCCTCATCCACAAGAATTATGATTTTGATAATTCCAAGGGTTTTGAGCTTTCCAAAGAGACTACACTTCAAGGGAGGGAACGTACTGACAAACGAACATTGGTTTCCACTCTGGCAGTTATATTCTTTACAATAAGTTAAAAACACAGCATCCTGGTTTAGGGATCAGTCTCCTGTCATTTCCTCGATGTGAATCGGCTCGCTCCCATGCTCAATCAGCCTCAGTGTCCTGATAACCCTTGTGCTGGTTCTGTGCTGGTTCTGTAAAGCTGCAAACCAGACCCTGAACAGTGGTGGCCACAGAGAGGTACTACTCCCTGGTTCTAAGGGTTTATGTATAATTTATTGTCCAAACCGGGATTCTTTTTGAGAGTGAAAGGGGGTGTTTTTAGTGACTGTCACAGCAATGGGTGTTAACTAGGACTTTTCTAGACACTCTATCTGTAGGGCTTTGCCTCATCCGCTAGGTGCCCTCTTTCAACAATTCTTCCAGCTCGTTTCCTCTAAAATATTGACAAGGTGAAATAGGGAAGGATTACTGCCCTATAGTCATAGATCTACTACTTGCCATAAAGAATCAGGTTAAAAGTCACCAAAAGTAATTGTATCACGGGTTTTGGTGTGAGACTATAAATTACACAAATTATTTTAAATGAGCCTTCTGGCATTGAATATTTAATGCTACACACTCAATTTATTTACCACTTGTAATGTTGAATTTCTTGTTTGATGTGGAGGTAGAGAGTTAGAATAATCTCAAGGTTGCTTTTACCTCCATAGTCATGAGTTTGACATTTCTGATCAGCACATACACAGCGATGATGATCAGCTTAACTATGAGCAACAGGGTCACACTAAGTACACTCAAGACTGATTTATGCCAAAACCAGCTTGCTAATTTATAATGAGAAGTGTCAGTCAGCTTTGCACTTATTTAATGCTGGATACTCCATGCATGATCTTGCTAGAACATAAGCTGTAAAGTGAACCAAACACTATTAACAAGTCCAAGGAATCATAGCTAGAAAGCTGCCTCTCAGGGAAGTCTGCCCCAAGAGACCATGCCTGTCTCAGAAGGGCTAGGGACGCATTATATACATTTCACTCTAAATCTCCCATTGTTGCAAATTTCTTGTGGCAGAGGCTGGCAGGGGATCTCCAAAACCATTTCTTCTTTATGCTGTGCACAGAATTAGACTACATTTCCCAGCCCTCATGTACGTAGGTATGGTCGTATTCCTGAATTCTGGCCATTGGAATTTGAATGGGAAGTGATCTGTATCACTTCTAAGCCCTGGACCATGTGTGAGCCTTTATGTGCCACTGGATGTCGATACCTGCCAGCAACTTAGATCCTTGAATGACTGTGATGCAGAGCACCCTACACCTCACCCTAAACCTGACCCACCTTAGACTGTTACTTGAGCAACAAAGTCTTACCTGGCAATTTCCATGTCCGTTGTTGTCACCACAGCGTCTCCCATCACTCAAGTTGTCCAGCTCTCTTGAGGAAGGAAGGTACAGCTGAGAGCAGCTATAGGAACTGCCCAGGACTGGAGTGTCCCAGAAGGTTCCACTGGACAATCCCTGTGCTTGAGAGTGCAAAAAGAAGGGTTAGGGCCTACTTTTGGTGCTAGTATATCTTGTCACTCTTGCTTTCAGGGGCTCAATTGGAATCTCACGTAATTAGAGCCCAAGGTAGCCCACCCTCATAGGCAAAATCACCCCTGATTGAGAACTACTGGATTCAGGAATGGTTTCATGGACACATGTGTGACCTGTAAACTTGGACAAGGCCCTCCTCTCAAAGGTTTTGTTTAGTGCTCTGCTCTCACATCTTGAAATTCTTAATAATAATATCTTAGAACCTGTGTTATGTAACTGTAGTCCAATGGGACAACAAAATGTGCAGGAGATCAGTCAGGCAACAATGGGCACCATGCATGCTGAGCATTTAGTCTGAGCACGAGGCGCGCGACACACACACACACACACACACACACACACACACACACACACACACACACTGGGCAGTCTGAGACCCCAGGGGTCCCTGAGGGGACTCTGTGCACCAGTGGAAGCTGGCCCTGGGAGAAAGGAGGTGTTCCCTAGGGACAGCACTGTAACCTGTGGTGGGGGGCCTGCTTGCCAATCAGTCCCTGGAGCCCATCTCTGAAGTATCTGCACAGATATTTTTTATTCTAAAAACTTTACAGTTACTTATTTAATCCTCACAATAATCCTATGAGGTAGGAACTATTATTTTTTTTTAAGGTTTTTAAAAAGAATTTTGAAGTCCTGTTGAATTTGTTACAATATTGCTTCTGTTTTATGTTTCGTTTTTTAGGCCACAGGGCATGTGGAATCTTGGCCCCTGACCAAGGCTTGAACCCACACCCCCTGCATTGGAAGGTGAAGTCTTAACCACTGGACCGCCAGGGAAGTCCCAGGAACTATTATTATTATCTCCTTTTTTTAATTAAATTTTTTAAACTGAGGTATAATTGACATACAACATTATGTTTGTTTCAGGTGTACAAAATAATGATTTGATATTTGTACATACTGCAAAAGGATCACCACAATAATTCTGGTTAACATCTGTCACCATACATAATTTTTTTTCTTGCATCAGTGCAGATATTAACTCTGTGGTCTGAGCGCTGGGACAAGATCTGCCACCACTTAGGCAGTACACTTTGTCATTAACTAATTACAACATGAAGTGGACACATGGATATTTCAATAAACTATATCAGAGACTAATTAGGATTCTTCAAAGAATTTAGAATCTCTGGTTTTGAAAACCACTGCAACATTGCACAATAAATATCCAAAGGCTTGGAAATAGAAATTAAATTTAAAGATCCTCACATTTCACAGAAAATTTTCATATAAAAACTTGCATGGACCAATTATTAACAAATAGACGACTGTAACATTATCTTTCCTTGTGATTGAAGATACAGTGTTAGAAATCAACAGGCATTTTAAATTCCACACAAATCATGAAACCACTTTCAGCTTCTTGTACAACCTCCACAAGTTACAGGAAATGTCAGAGGAAACAGTAAAATGCTATTATATTTATTAACATTTAAACCTAAATTCAGAATTACAGAAAACTGATTTGTAAGAAGAGTTAAAACATTTTAGAAAAAATTTTCTACAAGAAGCATCAGTTCTAAGATATATTTGAATTTATATTTCAAAATAATTGATAACTTTATTCTAATGTTACAGCCTATGAAATACTCTTAAAATTACCAATAACAGTTGCATCAACAGAGATGCTTTTCAAAATTATCAAAAATTATTTGTTTAGAGTGACTGATGTTACTTTCAATTATACCAATTGAAAATGAAGTTGCTAAAATAAGTTTTAATGGCCTAATAAATGAATTTGCAGAAAAGTGAAACCTAAAAAATTATGTTACGATCAATCAAGATATATCTATATTGATATATAGATATAATAGAGTATCATTATTTATTGTATTATACAAAATCATGGCACCAAACTATTGTGTTTTGCAATTTGTGACATTACTTGTTGTAACATAAATGTTATTACTCATCTATCACTATTACTCTTTCATGTTTTATAATAAAATATTTTCAAAAGAAAAACCTTTATATTTTGTACCTTTAACTGCACTTTCCCCCTGTATTTTGAAAAAGGGGCTCCACGTTATAATTTTTACACTGGGCCCTGCCAATTATGTCACTGACCTTGACTGTGTTAAAAGAACGGAGGGAGGGAACACTGGAAGAGAATACTTTAATGACTAGAACTGAAGATTTAAGTGTGAAAGTCAAATGCATATGGCTAATTTTTCCTTCTTTGAAGAATTTAAAACCATTTAACTGATAAAGAGTCTATCTTACAGAAAAGAATTCTTCTTTCTTTATAAAGAAGTGGGGAGCTATCTTTTTGTTAATATTTTTATTTTCTCAAACTTTGGTGATTAGACTGGGTTAAATAAGGTGGCTCTAACTGAAAGAGAATGGGTAAAAATTAAAACTCAGCATCTAGGATTTGGTAAAGC